TTAAAATCCTGGTGACTTTTTTGTTTGTTTTTTTGGTAGAAATAGAAAAACTAAACCTAAAATTCATACGCAATCTTAAAGGACCAGAGTAGCCAAAACAGTCTTGAAAAAGAATAAAACTGGAAGACTCACACTTCAGATTTCAAAACTTGCTACACAGCTACAGTAATCAAAACTGTGGTATTGGCATGAAAGGCATATAGACTTGATTTGTTAACAAGTCAGGAAATGACAGATGTTGGCGAGGATGCGGAGAAAGGGAAACCTTCCTACACTGGTTGGTGGGAATGTGAGCTGGTGGCAGCCACTCTGGAAAACAGTATGGAGGTTCCTCAAAAAGTTGAAAATAGAGCTACTGTACGACCCAGCAATTGCACTACTGGGTATTTACCCCAAAGATACAAATGTAGGGATCCGAAGGGGTACGTGTATCACAGTGTTTATAGCAGCAATGTCCACAATAGCCGAACTATGGAAAGAGCCAAGATGTCCATCAACAGATGAATGGATAAAGAAGATGTGGTATAAATACACAATGGAGTATTATGCAGCCATCAAAAAAACTGAATCTTGCCATTTGCAACGATATGGATGGAACTAGAGGGTATTATGCTAAGCGAAATAAGTCAATCAGAGAAAGACATGTATCATATGATCTCTATGATATGAGGAATTTTTAATCTCAGGAAACAAACTGAGGGTTGCTGGAGTGGCGGGGGGTGGGAGGGATGGGGTGGCTGGATGATAGACATTGGGGAGGGTATGTGCTATGGTGAGCGCTGTGAATTGTGTTAAGACTGTTGAATCACAGACCTGTACCTCTGAAACAAATAATACATTATATGTTAAAAGAAAAAAAAAAGATAGTAGGAAGGGAAAAATGAAGGGTGGATAATCGGAGGGGGAGATGAACCATGAGAGATGATGGACTCTGAGAAACAACTGAGGGTTCTAGAGGGGAAGGGGGTGGGGGGATGGGTTAGCCTGGTGATGGGTATTACAGAGGGGGCACATACTGCATGGAGCACTGGGTGTTAACGCACAAACAATGAATCATGGAACACTACATCAAAAACTAATGATGTAATGTATGGTGATTAACATAATAAAAAGATACAGAATAGAGAGCCCAGAAATGAGTCCTCACATATATGGTCAAATAATTTTTGTCAAGGATGGAAACTGGGCAAAGGACAGTCTTTTCAACAAATGATGCTGGAAAACTGGATATTCAGAAAAAGAATGAAATTGGACCCTTACATAATACGTATACAAAAAAATAATTCAGAATGGATCGGGAACCTAAGTGTAAGACCTGAAACAATAAGACTCTTAGAAAAAATACATAGGACGAAAGCTTCACAACATTGGATTTGGTCATGATATCTTGGATATGACACCAAAGATACAGGTAACAAAAGAAAAAATTAGGCAAATTGGACTTCATGAAAATTAAAAAAAAAAAGTTTTTGCATCAAAAGACACCATCCACAGTAAAAAGACAACCCTCAGAATGGGAGAAAATATTTGCAAGTCATATATCTGATAAGGAATCAATATCCAGAATACAGAGGACTTTTATTTATTTATTATTTTTTTTAAGATTTATTTGACAGAGACACAGCAAGAGAGGGAACCCAAGCAGGGGGAGTGGGAGAGGGAGAAGCAGCTTCCTGCGGAGCAGGGACCCTGATGTGGGGCTCGATCCCGGGACCCTGGGATCATGATCTGAGCCGAAGGCAGACGCTTAATGACTGAGCCACCCAGGCGCCCCTACAGAGGACTTTTAAAGCCTAACAATAACACAAAAGATCTGATTGTAAAATGGACAAAGGACTTGAGTAGACATTTCTCCAAAGGAGATATCTCAATGCCACTAAGCACACAAAAAGATGCTCAAATCACTGATTATTAGATAATGCAAATCAAAGCTATAATGAGATAATACCTCATACTCATTAGGATGGCTACTATCAAAATAACAAATTAACAAATGTTGGTGAAAACATGAAGAAATTGGAACTCTTGTGCATTGTTGGTGGGAATGTAAATGGTAAGCCATTGTGAAAATGGTACGGTAGTTTCACCAAAAAAAAAAAAAAAAAATTCAGTTACCGTATGTCCCAGCAGCTTCCTTTCTGGATATATTCCTCAAAGAATTGAAAGCAGGGCCTCAGAAAGGTATTTGTATACCCATGTTCATAGCGTTATTCACAGTAGCTAAAATGTGAAAGCACCCAAGTGTCCATTGACCAATGAATGGATAAGCAAAATGTGTAGACATACGGGATTTTGTTCAGTCTTAAAAAGGAAGGAAATTCTGCAATATGCTATAATACTGGATGAACCTTGAGGATGTTATGCTAAGTGAAGTAAACCAGTCACAAGAAGACAAATATTGTATGATTTCACTTGTATGAGGTACTTAGAGTAGTTAGAATCATAAAGGCAGAATTTGTGATGGTGGTCACCCAGGACAGGGGTGAGAGGAGAATGGGGAATTAATTGTTTAATAGGTATAGAGTTTCAGTTTTACGAAATGAACTATGGGGATGGTTGGTGGTAGTGGCTGCACAGCAATGTGAATGTATTTAATACCAGTGAACTGTACACTTAAAGATGGTTAAGATGGCAAATTTTATGTTATGTGTATTTTACCACAGTAAAAATAATTGTTTTAAGCATTGAATAAAATTTACTTGGATTTCAAATTACTTTTTCTTCTCCTTTTCCAGCATTTGAAAATATTTTAATGGTGTGTGCTAAAGAGTGGCATGGATGTTGACTAGGTCAGCATGATATTGTTTATTTGCCTTTTTGTGTGTCACAATCTCATTGCTTTAAGGCTGAAAGCACATTAAGGCTCTTTGATAGCACATTTTAGTCAGTACGGTGTAAGTTTTTTCTTAATTGTCTTACTCAAAAGTAAACTAGTTGGGAAATATAATCACTTTTATCCAATCACTTCTCATAGAAAAAATTAGAAATGTCAATAAATTGAACATGCTTATAATAATATTTACTTAATCACTCTATATAGGATTTAGAAGTAGTTATAAAAATAATATAGTTTATATAATTCAGAAATAAAAGTCCTCTTTCTCCATCATCAAACATCCCATTTATACTTTTAGGGTAGCTACTACTATTAACAGTTTCTTCAGTTGCCTTCCAGAAATACTCTTTATGTAGATAAGTATATGTGTATGACTGTCTAATGGAATTATACACACGTATACAAGACGTATGTATCCTATTTGTTAAAAAAAGATATACTTTTATAAGGTATTTTGAGTGGCTTAAGTATGTTCTTTAGCACACACACTGAGGAAAAGTAGATAAATTGATACGAACATTAAAAATGTAACAAAAATATAATTTCTTTAAGTTTATTTGAAGTCTTATAATTATTCTAGTGATATAGATTAAGAATAAAATTTCTGTAGTACAATTTAATAATGAGATTTTAAATCCATATTTTTATGAAAACAAAATATTAATTTGTGTGGCAGATTTTTGTCCTCAATACGTGTTCTTATTACCTGTCATACTGAAAATAGTGGGTTATCTTTGGGAGTGGGATTATCTGTGAGTGCTGTATAGGGAGAGTTTTGGGCTTCTCTAATACCATATTGTATGAGTTTTTTTTAAAGCAATGAGCACATTCTACTTTTATTAAAATGCAAGAAAATATTTTTTTTTAAAGATTTTATTTATTTATTTGAGAGAGAGAGAATGAGAGACAGAGAGCACGAGAGGGAAGAGGGCAGAGGGAGAAGCAGACCCCCTGCTAAGCAGGGAGCCCGATGTGGGACTCGATCCTGGGACTCCAGGATCATGACCTGAGCCGAAGGCAGTCGCTTAACCAACTGAGCCACCCAGGCACCCGAAAATATTTTTTTTCATTGCAGTCACTTTTATTTTTTGTTTCTTGTTGCTTTTTCATTTGCTTTTTTTTTGTTTTTATTTTTATTCTAGTTAACATACAGAGTTCTACTGGTTTCAGGTGTACAATTTAGTGATTCAACAGTTCCATACAGCACTCAGTGCTCATCATGATAAGTGGACTCCTTACCCCATCACCTATTTCACCCTTCCCCCCACCCTCCTCACCTCTGACAATCATTAGTTTGTTCTCTATAGTTAAGAGTCTGTTTCTTGGTTTGTCTTTCTCTTATTTTTTTCCCTTTCCTTGTTTTGTTCTTAAATTGCACATGAATGAAATCCTATGGTGTCTTTCTCTGACTTATTTCGCTTAGCATTATGCTGTCTAGCTCCATCCATGTCACTGCAAATGGCAAGATTTTGTTCTTTTTGATGGCTCAGTAATAATCCATTGTGTGTGTGTGTATTAAACCACATCTTCTTTATCCATTCATTGATGGACACTTGGGCTGCTTCCATATCTTGGCTATTATAAATAATGCTGCTATAAACATAGCAATGCATATATCCCTTTGAATTAGTGTTCTTGTATTTTTTGGGTAAATACCCAGTAGTGCAATTGCAGGATTGTAGGGTAGTTCTATTTTTAACTCTTTGAGGAACCTCCATACAGTTTTCCACAGTGGCTGCACCACTTTGCATTCCCACCAGTGGTGCACGAGGGTTCCTTTTTCTCCACATCTTCATCAGTACATGATGTTTCTTGTGTTTTTGATTTTAGCCATTCTGACAGGTGTGAGGTGGTATCTCATTGTAGGTTTGATTTGCATTTCCCTGATAATGTGATGATGAGCATCTTTTCGTATGTCTGTTGGCCGTCTGTATGTATTCTTTGAAGAAAAAAATCTCTGTTCATGTCTTCTGCCCATTTTTAATTGGATTGTTTTTTGGATGTTGAGTTTTATAAGTTCTTTTTACATTTTGGATACTAGCCTTTTATCAGATATGTCATTTGCAAATAATGATAGAAAATAGTTTTAAAACATAATGATTTAAATTTTAAAAAATGTTCTCATTAACTAAGCTCATTTTTTTTTTTTTAATTCTGATTTTAGGCTTGTGTGGATGTCAGAGCCAGTTCAGTGTTTTGGCAGCAGATGGAATTTGCAGATAGCCTCCAAGGCCATCCCAAGTTGCCAGAATGGTTATCCACACACCCTTCTCATGGAAATCGAGCTGAGCACTTGGATAGACTCATACCTCAGGTGAGCTAACGCTGTATAAGGCAAGACATTGTTTTTACTGTATCATTTATTTTTAATGCAGTTGCTTCTTGTGCTTAGAAAAAGAGAGTTCTAGTCTAGCCTATCAAATATTTTGATCACTGTAATTATGGATTCTCGGTTTTTAAAGGATTTGACTGAAAAGTAAAAATCCTGCTTGTCCACAAGTCTTGGGGAATAAATTGCTGTTTAGTTGACTTTTCTTGATGGTGAAAGTTTAACCTTTTTAGAATCATACCTTTTAATTTTAAATGATTTGGCAAAAGTCTAAAACTCAAAGTATGTATTTTTCATACATACTGATCATAATTTAGTCTTTTCTTGGTGATTTAAGCTTTGTTAAAAAGCTTGTTAAAAATACCAGTTAATGAACTGTGCAAAATTTTGGGGTTAATTAATTATTAATTTCGATAGTGATACTGGAATTTGTTTTAGAAAAAAAATCTCTTTGTATTTGCTTTTTGGTTATTTATTTGTTTATAAAGCATGTGCTGTGTGGCATTCTTTCTTTTTTGGTAGAATTCAATGGATCAAGTTGAAGCAGCTTTCTCTCAAGTAGTTTTTACTATCTTTTGAAAATCTTTTGACTTCATTCAAGATGTTTTCTGTAGTTATGACATTGGTACAAGATGGATGTCAGGCATGTCTAAGCCAGGCTACATCTCTCTTCTATTTCACTTGAACTAAATTTGCTGATTGGTTATAAAAGCAGACTATTCTTTAGAAATTTAAGAATTGGTATTGGTCTGTTTGCTAAAGGATAAAAAGGGATCCAGGTGTATTATAAAAGTTATCTTTCAGTATGACTTCAAATTCAGCTTAAGATATATTGGGTTCCTGTTAAAGAAATGATGCTAGTAAGTACAGGGGTACAAAGAGAAATAAGACACGGTTCTTGATACTTTCATGCTAAGATAAGTACAGATTGATTCTTAATACAACAGGGAATATGACTTACAAGAAAAGTAAAAATGTTGTGGTATGCAATTTGAAGGAATAATAGCCAGCATCTAGTTTGGAATGAGAAACAATCGCAAGATTCATTCATTCGTTTATGTGATCAGTATTTGTTGATACTCATTTCTAATCTACTGTTCTGTGTTCTGTTGCCGGGGAATGAGCAAGGACAAAACAGTCTTTGCTTTTTTGGAGCTAACATTTTAATTAGATAATTCAAATAATAAACAAACAAACATACATGTAGTATGTCAAGTAGTGATAAGCATGAGGGGGAAATATAAAGCAGGTTAAAGGTAGTAGAGAGGACTGGGCAGCAGAGAAGGTTTACTAGTCTGTGTTCATGTGTCAAGGAGAGCCTCACTGAATAGAATCTGGAAAAGCCCTGGAGCAAATCCTGTGAATATATGGAGGGAGTCTTTTAGGCTGAGGAAGTAGCCAGTGCACAGGACCTAAAGTGAGAGTATGTTTGATGTGTCCAGGGAATAGCCAGGAAGACATGGAGGTGGAATGGAGTAAGGGAGGAGGGGAGAATGGTTGAGATGTAGGGGGACCAGACCATGAAGGGTCTTCTAAACCACTGTAAGGTCTTTTATTTCAAGTGATGAGGGAAGCTAGTTTCCTCATCACTCAGGTCTGGTGTGAGCAGCAGAGGAGTGAATTGACCTGACTCATGTGTTTTATAGTGATCACTGGGGCTCCTGTGTGGAGAGTGGACTGTAGTGGGGCAAGGGTGGAATCAGGGAGGCTATTTAGGAGGCTCTTGCAAAAATCCTGGTAAGACATTATGGAGACAGAAGAGAGTGAGAGAAGTGGTCAGATTTTGGATATATTTTGAAAGGGATGATAACAGAATTTGTCCATAGCTTGGGCATACTTTGTACCTTTTATGAGCATTGGGAATAGCCAGACATGGGTTCTTAAGACCTTTCCTAAATATATTTCATTTATACTCCTAATTTGAAGAAAAAAATATTTGAGAAAGAAATAACAGTGAAATTTACTTGATATAATATATAGTAATAATTCATCTTAAAAGGGCAACATAGCACTGGGATTATATTGTGTTAGTAATTGATGTGTACTGAAGCTCACTGGCTCTGAGAGTCTTCTCAGTGATACCTACGACCCAGGGGCCTTCTACTGCCCTGGCAAGTTTAGCCTATCTCTTAATTCCTAATAACCACATGGTTTTCTTTTAGAATTTCCTTTCTTTGCATTTTTTCCTTAGTGAAATTCTAAAAATATATGGCTTGCTTAAGCTGGATAATGAATTCTGCCACCTTTCGTCTGAAGCTTGACCTATATTCTGTAAAAAATGTGCTTTAGAGAAGTCTTTAAAATAATAATGAATTGATTAGTGAGTATGAGGAAAAGTGGTTGGAGAAACAAATATGTTATTTGGGAACCAATGATGAAAAACACTGGGAGATTTTTTTTTTTTTCCTTCTAAAAATAAACTATCCTAGTTCAGAAACTTAATTTGAAAACCTCATGTAATTTCTTACATTTTGCCCCCAAGTGATTAAATTCAATTTGAAAGCAATAAAACTCCACTACAATATTGGGAATAATTCAGTGGTTGAAGTGAAGCTGATAGTGCAAGAGTATACTGTTAATTAGAATGTCAAGTAGTGATAAGCATGAGGGGGATTGGAATTCCCTACCATTCTAATTTCTATAATGAAACAAAGTGATTCCTCAGGCAATATATAGAATTATCTGAGTCTATAGACTACTACTAAGGACTACTTTTGTTGTTGTTGTAGTTAAATTTTATTTAAGGTTTTTTTTTTTCCTCCATTTACGTGAATACAATGTTATATTCTACCTAAAGCTCCTGACAGTATGCCTGAATTGATGTACATCTCAGAGGTAGTTGGGAATACAGCACCAGAACACAGAGAAATCTAGGCAAGAGATGAGGATTTCAGAGTCACCTGAAAAAGGTGATAGTTGAAGCAGAGTAGATGAGTTCACTTAGGAAGTAAACAGAGAAAAAGATCCTGGACAGAGGTTAACAGTATAAAGTAGTTTACATATTTAATTGGTAGGAAGAAGATTGAGCCTGTAGTATATCAGATTTATAGGAGGAGAAAAGATCAAGAAAATCAGGAAAGTAAGATTCTTTGGTTCTATGATAAATCTTGATAATTTTGATTTTTTTTAAAAAATTAACTTACTGAAGATTGTGTATTTTTTATTTCTTACTGGATTCCCTGAATATCATCAAAGAAATTTATTATTTCCTACCATAGCATATCAAGATTTAAGATATTTTAAATCTATACTTGGTGCATTCAACAATTATTTATTGATCATGTGTTAGGCCAGACCATAGGTGTTACAAGTGTTGTGAACAAATTACACAAAAATCCCTGTCCTCATGAAGCTTATGCAGTAAAGGGAGACAGACAATAAATAGCATTAATTAGTAATGTATAGAATAGATCACTGATATATTGTATACTAGTCAGTAATGAGTGTTAACATGAAGAAAATAAAGGAAGAACAATGTATTAGTCAGCTTGGGTTGCCGTAGCAAAATACCAGAGACTGTGTGGCTTAAGCAACAGAAATTTATTTTTTCACAGTTCTGAAGGGTAGAAGTCCAAGGTCAAGGTTCTGGCTTAAGCAATAGCAATTAATTTTTTCATAATTCTGAAGGCTAGAAGTCCAGTAATTTTCTGGCAGATTCAGTTTCTGGTGCGGTCTTTCTGGCTTGCAGATGGCTGTCTTCTAAAACATTGTGTCCTCACCTGGTGGAGAGAGTTGAGTGTGTTGGTGTCTCTTCCTTTTCTTATTAAACTGATAAGAACAGATACTACACCTGACTTAGCCTTTTCTTATAAGGGCCTGTTAATTCTTTCATGAGGGCTCCACCCTCATAACCTCTTCTAAACCTAAATTACCTCATCTCCCCATCTTCAAATACTGTCATCACATTGGAGGTTAAGGCTTCAACATAAGAATCTGGGGTAGGGGGGAACAGTCCACTCCATAGTGGGTAGGTAATATGTGAGCAGAGGTGGTCAAGGTCCTGGAACAGCTGTTTGAAATGGGGTTAGTCAGAGAAGGTTTCACTGAGAAGATGGTATTTGAAGGAAGAATGAAATAAATGGAAGAATGAGCCGTATGACTTCCTAGGCGAACACCCTTCCAGGCAGAAGAAATAGTAAGTACCAGGCATTGAGGTCGGAGTGAGCCTGGTGTATTTGAGGGACAGCAAGGAGACCAATGTGGCTGGATGGGGTAAGCAATGGAAAGTGGAGAGTGCAGGTTTTGAAGCCAGTGTAAGGACTTTGGCTTTTGGTCACGGATGGGACACCAGTGGAAAGTTTGGAGTAGAGCACTAGAGGAGTAACAGGGTTGACTTATGTTTGGGGGGAATGTGATCTATAGCTCCTCTACAAAGCACTAAAATCATATAATTTTGAAGTATTTTAATATAGTATGTCGTTCACAAAATAGACTAGTTCCTTGTTTTGTCTTGCTTTTAAAATCAAGAAAATGCCCCCAAGTTAGAAAAAACTACACCTTTGCTATTTTTTAATGTGTATTCTGAGATAAAGCATGCATAAATACCTAGGTAAATATAATCCTGTAATCTACCAGCATTTAAAAATGATAAATATAGGGTTATAGTATTAATAATATTTGTAGTTAATAAGAGATGATATGCTATAATTTTATTTACTTGAAATAATCAGTTAAATTTAGGAAACAAATATTCCACGCATTTTGGTTACCATAACAACTTGGGTGAAAAATTGAAGAACAGATGTTAAATCAACCTGTTGATGTTTAATTTTATGACAGTTTTAAAATTATACTTAACACTGTTCAGATTTTAAATTTATGTATAACATAAGTTGTCCTTGAAAGAGATCCCTTATTTAACTTTCTTTCTGTAAAGATTGTTATAAAATATGGATGAATAGATGTGAATAAAGGAAATGGTTTGATAACCCAGGATAGAAATTTACTTGAAAGATTTATTTTACAACCGGAAGCATTTAGACTGA